AGAGAGAGAGAGAGAGAGAGAGAGAGAGAGAGAGAGAGAGAGAGAGAGAGAGAGAGAGAGAGAGAGAGAGAGAGAGAGAGAGAGAGAGAGTTGTCTCGGCAGGCAGAAAACAGATGTGTGAATCGGTCTGAATCAGGCACTTAAACCACAAGTACTTGGGCACTGCGCGCCGCGCCGGCCGCACCTTTTTTGAAGCGGCGCGGGCTGTCAATACGATTTATCGACGGCCCGCCGGTAGCAAAATTCTCGTAGCGTTAACGCTAAGGCGTCGCCCAAGTACTGGTGGTTTAAGCGAATCCGCCGTTTCAAACTTTCCGACCAAGGGTGCTTGCCCTTTCCGTTCCACCTGGGCCCAGTGCGGCACGGCCCCCCCCCCCCCCAAAGAAAAACGACACCAACATTGACTTCGAATTGAATGTTGAAAGCTTCCATGTGTATAAATGCAACCCTGACGGGTTGCAAACACGTTCAGGTGTATAAATGCAACCCTATGGGCTGCGAACTACTATACCCCAGCCCTTAGGGCTGCTATCTGAGCTGGGCCCTTTTACCAACGCTGGTTTATACCCCGAAGGACAGACCATGCTGCTTTATAGCCTGGACATGGACCCACCAGGACCTGGAGTCGGTCATCCAGGCACTTGCGGGAGCAGGTTCCCACTACCGCAGAGGATTGGATCAAGCCTGACTCTATAGGTTTTTTTTTTTTTTTTTTTTGGGGGGGGGGGGGGTTGGCGGAACATTTCTCTATTTATGTGTGTCATCCTTGCACAGGGGCCATGCTAATCTTCTTTGTATCGTTCCAATTTTAACGGATGTCCCAAAGGACAACTAGAGGGTTTTTTAGGAGATGCTGAAAAGCAGATCATCGGCAATTTTCTGGACTTCCTTACCTCAACCTGGGACTCTTCAAGGAAACAACACGCCTCGGGAGGTGGTTCAGGCTTACTGGCAGGTCAGGGTCTCGCTTGCAGAAATTCTTTATTCTTAATCTATGTTTGGAGTAACTGGCGGAAAAGACATGGGGGGGGAAGTGGGACCTCACCCATTCGGCGGGGAGGAGCGCCGCCGTCACACCGCCTCTGTGTTTATGTTTTGTCATGTTCACTATATACAACTGCAAGAGTGTGTGTGTGGGGGGTCGCAATTGGTGCTTTATTCACAATGT